ACAACAGACAGACAGAACGATAGACAGAATGATGGATAGACAGAATAGATAGAGAGAATTATATAATGATAACTGTTTCCTATTTAAATAGTTTTAAATGTTATTTATTCCTGTGAGGTCGGTCAAAGCTTTTCAGCAGCCATTAATCTGGAAATCATTCTAATATGTTGATTTTGTGTACATTTCTTATTATTATCGATGTTAAAACCAGCTGTGCTGCTTAATATTTTTGTGGAAACGGTGATGCATTTTTTGAGCATTCTTTGACAAATAGAAAGTTCAAAAGAACAACCTTATATGAAAATACTCAATAATAGTCTATTTGAGAGCATGGATAGATAAAATGATAAACAGAACAGACAGACAGAACGATAGATAGAATGATGGATAGACAGAACAATAGAGAGAATTATATAATGATAGAACGATAGACAGATAGAATGATACATAAAAAAGACAGACAGAATGAAAGATAGAATGAAAGAATGAACGCTAGACAGAATGATGGATATAACTATAAATAGAAAGAATGATAGAACGGTGGATAGACATACTGTATAAAATGATAGGTAGGCCAATAGAACAAAACGGATGGATAGAAGGATAGACAGAATGATGGACCGATAAATAGAATGATACACAGAATGAAAGACAGAGAGAATTAAAGATAGAATGACAGAATGCTAGATAGAACAATGGAATGGATAGAACTATAGGTGGAATGACAATGATGAATAGAAAGATAGAATGATGGTTAGACATAAAGCTGGACAGACTGACAGAATGATAGATAGAATGATAGATACGACGACTAGAATGATAGATAGAACGATAGATAGAACGATAGATAGATAGATAGATAGAATGACACAGATAGACAGACAGACTGAACGATAGATAGAACGACTGATAGAACGATAGATTGATTGAACGATAGAACGATAGATAGATGATAGATGAAAGCTATTTTCATACGGTCCACTTTCACTTTCAATTCACTTTTACCATTTAAAATAACTAGTTTTATTTCACATTCATTGAGACAAAATTGATAGAATTTTAATAATGCCCATAACACAGAAATAATTATCTGCTTATTGACTTCATTTCTCTGTTTGACGCTCGACAAATTGACCAAAATGTCCATCTGTAGTCAGGAAGACCACAGGGAGAAGAAGAGTTGAGAAGAGAGGCACAACGTGAATCCCTTCTCAGCAGCTGCAGTAAATGGCGTTTAATAATAGGAATGATTTTATCCTCCCTCCCAACAGTCCTGCTCCACGTCTTAAGTAGCCACCATGATCCACACACAGCCAGCCCCGCCATCTATCATCCTCCAGCCCAATAAGTGACAACAATTTCCTCCCGAGACACCGTTAGAGGCGGTCCTCCTGATTATCTGCACTCTCCGAGAATGGAGCTCTTCTGCCGTGCCACTTAAGATCATCATACAATTACGCGACCCCCATGTGTCCTCGCTTTCCGAGAGCGGAGAGGCAGAATCGATGGGGGGACAATAGGAAACACAGTGATCAGGGCCTCAGAGGATGAGATCAGATCAAGGGCGTCTTTGAACATGCTGATTGAGATGTCAGCGCTCGGCAGTTTCGAGGGAAATTAGAGGATATCTCCGTGATAACTGGGTGGAGTAAATTCAGGGTGCGACACAAAGTCCTGTGGTTTGCTGCGGGACAAAAACAGTGAGAAAATACCTTATATTCGTTCGAAAGGTATCTTGTGAATCCGGTGTTAGGTGATCTTCTAACAAGTGGTCAGTGCTCAAAACAGGTATAAATGGAGTACAAAATGTTATGTGGTCAAATCATACATATCACATTTAAAAAGCAGAGTGAATGTGACTATACTGCATAAAAATAATAATGCATTCTTTTGGAATGACGCATTTCTTGTCAATCATCCACTGCACTACTTTGCCGGTTTCATTCGCTTTCGAAAGAAAGCAACTATCTGTCCAAAAAAATTTGAAAAAGTGTAAAAATACTGTACACTACTGTTTAAATGTTTGGGGTCTTTAAGATTTTTTTAAATGTCACTTATGGTCACCAAGGCTGCATTTATTGATCAAAAATTCAATAAAAACAGTAATATTGTGAAATATTACAATTTAAAACAACATTTAAAAATATTTAAATAGGAAACAGTTATTTATTCCTGTGAGGTCAAAGCTGAATTTTCAGCAACCATTAATCTGGAAATCATTCTAATATGCTGATTTTGTGTACATTACATTTCTTATTATTATCGATGTTAAAACCAGCTGTGCTGCTTAATATTTTTGTGGAAACTGTGATACATTTTTTCAGCATTCTTTGACAAATAGAAAGTCCAAAAGAACAACCTTATATGAAATAAAAAATATTTTGTGAAATTATAAATGTCTTCACTGTTAGTTTTGATCAGGTTAGTTAGCACATCGTTGCTGAATTATAATATATATATATAAAAAAAAAAAAAAATGAATGCACACTACTCAATAATAGTCTATTTGAGTGCAACAGTGTGCCAGCTTTTCCCTTTTAACTTTTTGTTCAAAATTAACATGACTTTATGCATTTCATTTTAAAGGGAGAGTTCACCCAAAAATAAATTCTGTCATTAATTACTCACCCTCCTGTCGTTCCAAACCCATAAGACCTTCGTTCATTTTCAGAATATAAATTAAGATATTTTTGATGAACTCCGAGAGCTTTCTGACCCTGCATAGATAGCAACGCAACTGACACGTTCAAGGTCCAGAAAGGTAGTAAAAACATCATTAAAATAGTCCATGTGACATCAGTGGTTCAACCGTAATGTTATGAAGTTACGAGAATACTTTTTGTGTGTAAAGAAAACTAAAATAACTTTATTAAACAATTTCTACTCTTCCGTGTCAGTCTTTGACACTAAAATTAAGGTTGAACCACAGACAGACTATTTTAACACTGTCCTTACTACCTTAAACGTGTCAGCTGTGTTGCTGTCTATGGAAGGGTCAGAAAGCTCTCGGATTTCATCAAAAATATCTTAATTTGTGTTACGAAGATGAACAAAGGTCTTATGGGTTTGGAACAAAATGAGGGTGGGTAATTAATGACATTATTTAATTTCTGGGTGAACTATCCCTTTAAGTCCATAAAGTCTGGGGAAGTGGTTTAATTTTTAAAATACTGCATGTTGGCATTTAGCTTGGTATTTGCATATTCCACAAGTTTGAGAAATATAATTATAATGCTTCACATTTAAATCTTTTTTGGTTTACGTTTTGTGTTTTCTCAACAAGCAGCGATACACTGACAAAGTAATGTTCATTAATTAACATAAGCTTTCCTTGATAAAATATTGGTCAAATGACACTACAGGAGTAAAATCATGATCAAATCACCTAAAACGGATGCACAAAGACACATAAAGAGGGCCTGTAAACAAACAGGATTGTCATTTTGCATATGAATGAAAACTATGACAGGTGGGCGCTAGCTGAGGAATGTTCTTATAAAGAATAAATATAAAGACATAATTATCGTCATAGCAAGAATGACATTGTGTTTGTCTTCTTTCATGTTGGAAACTACATTTAATAAGTAGGAGTGACATAAAAGCCTAATTAAGATGGACTCGAGCAGCTTGATAAAGGAATGCCATGTAATTTTTGCTGGCTCTTAAGCATGTTCCAGTTCATTTCGCACCCTGTTACACTAATTAACGGCTGAGACCACGACCGCATGAAATTACAGCCAACAAAATCGGCGGCTTAACAAAAGGGATTTTGACAGTTCTTGGACAGTCTGAAGGCAGGTGTGAGCACGACATCAAACAATAATTACGTCTGTCATTGAGAGGCTCGGTACGCGCCGTGCACTGACTCCTCCAAAGCGAAGAAATACGGATGAAGAATTCAAGCATGAAAACCATAACCCGGTGGTGACAGCTTTCTGTTATCATGCCATCAAATGATTCCCAAAATCCTTCTTTAAAGTAAATCCACATAGTGCGATCAACAAAATGTGAAGTTGTAGAGTGATTTGACAGCTGAGCAGAAGACTGTGAAGTAGACTGGCCTGTGTCAGAAGATACTGATGCATAACCAAAACGCTTTACATTCCCATCAAGAACTGACTGCATTTCAATGCTGCCATCGTGTTGATGCTGTCGATCCCGTAATCTCTTCACCAAAGCAGATGGTTTAAACTTTAAATGCACAAAAAACATCCGCTGACCAATCCATCTCATTGACTTGAAAATTCAATGGCTGAGGTACTCTGACATTTATTGAGATTAGAAGAAAACTTTGCACGTCAATTGCAATAAGTGGTTGAGGAGTCCATTAAACAGCACTAAATCAAAACATCTTTAGGTGAAGTGTGTCATTTATGCACCGCTACCATCACCAAATGGATAAATAAAGTAGAAATATATAAGTAATAAAGTTTTTCACAAACACTCATGTCTACGACTACAAAACAAAAACCTGCTATGAAATGATTCTCCTTTTCAGCTAGGGGTGCACCAATATAATAATTATTTTCCATAACAATAGGCTGATAAATATTTTTTCATGTTATAGCTAGCTGATAACCGATTAAATTTATAAAACACTAAAATCCATAACTTTAAATGCAACATTTAGGCATCACAACATTATAATGTGAAAAAAAAGCGATATTCATTTTGACATTTGTTAAAGAGTACATTTAACACTGTTAAATTATTAGTGCATTTTACACAAATAATAACTTTTGGTAAATTTTAAACTTGAAGTGAGCATTAGATATGGGGAAAAGTTATCCAGATATTGAAATAAAAGAAATGAGCATGCATTAAATATTCTAAACCGGTTGATAAATGATAATATTTATCAAATAAATACTGTAATGTTGCCCGACAACCGATAAATAAAAATGGCCAATAACTGATAAATAAATACTAATATCTGCTGATAACCAATAACTGTTGACTTTAAAGTTCAAATACTGTCACACGTGTCTTCGAGGACTTACTGCTGGATGCGCTGAAGAGGAAGCGTTAGCAAATCCTCAAGTTTCTGCTGATTGAGCTCAGGCCTGGACTCCTGGAGCTTTTTAAACCGTCTGAAGGCTTTGCTTTTCTTCACCTGAACCTGAGAAGGAAATGAACCATGAATCAAAGATCTGCTTCTATGAAAACAACTTGATACAACAGTAGAGCACATTTGATAATGCTAGCGATAACACTGTTTACCTCCCACCAACAGCATCTCCCCCGTAGATGATGCATGTGGCGTGATGTCTATTGAATTGTGCATTCAGTTTCGCTTGTGACTCAATCTCACTCATGCACAACGAGACATCTCTGTTTTCTCTTATCACAAGCTGTCTTCTGAATAGAGGCAACCTTGGTTTCATTATTAAATATACATTCACACGAACCATGTCAGGATAATGGCAGACAGAGTCTGCATTAGCATAGCAAAATATCACTTTTTTATGTAAAATTTGTTTGGAATTGTGCTTCCCTCTGAGAAAAGCATAAGTCGTGCTACTTTTTTGTGCCAAGTAAATAATAAATAAACATATCAAGTAAACAAAACAATCCATCATCTTCAAACGGCGCACACCGTGTACAACACCTGCTCGGCTAACATTTATGGCCGAAGCAGCTGGGGTCTCCCTCTGAGAAACACAGCAACATTAAATAACCGCATGTTGGACATGCTGTGAGAGGAATCTTTTATTCAGGACAGCCGAAAAAAAAAAAAAATTATCAGAATGAATCCTGTCAAATCCTGAAAGCTTTCCACATTTTAAAATAATAGGTAAGTCATCAAAACAATATTATACAATATAAAAATTCTATTATTATATCAAACTAAAATTAAAATATTTTGCCTGAATAAAAAAACATTAAAAATAAGTGAATTTAAGCATCTCAAAATTATAATGTACACCATGAAAAATATATTCATTTTGAGAGTTGTTAAAGATTTTCAATTATTAGCATTTAAATAATCCTGAAAGCTTTCAACTAGTGCTGGGCGGTATACCGGTTCATACCAAATACCGGTGTTTATTTTTGTTATGATAAGAATTTTTAAAATACCGCAATACCGGTGTATGTCACTTAAACAATGTTCGGAACGCAACACTGTTTGAAAGGGGTCCCTTTTCACTGTTGCACTGTGGTGAGGGAACAGCTGTATGTGTTACTAAGTGTGAAAGTTCCGAAACTGAAGCTGTAGAACTAATAGAACGTGATGACACAGAAGAACTCATCCACAATATCCACATTGACCGCCACAAATATCCACCGCCCCCTGCCATCAGCTCCCGCGTCTCACACACACATGAGCGTGACTTTAGCACTAGATTTAACAACTTTCAGACCCTTTTAGCTGCTTTTTTCTAGAGATTGACCGATATATCGATTTCCCGATATTTTCCCGATATTTAAGCATCTTGTGGATGTTTTGAGAATTGCGCGCAGGATCACCATTGCAGCGCATCTGAGGGGAAACAAGACAACAACAACGGCGTGCACGGGTACTTGATTTACTGTAGTTAGTAAACTTTATTTAACATAACAGCCATTAATGCACAAATTAGATGTATTACATAAATGCCTGATATGCAGTTTATGCAGCTTGGCTCGAAGAAATAGAGTTTATTTTGTTATATTTCAATATTCCAGACAATATTATTCAGTGAATTAACATTATCCAGTGAATTATTCTTCACTCTTTAGCCTAT